CTTTTTGAAGGCTTTAGTTTTTCAGAGAGAAACAAATTTAAAAAAATTGCTCTACTGCTTGACTAGTTCAGGCAATGCTTTACAGCTTACATCTTCCCATACTTAGTCGCACCTTTTGCTGGGAATTGTCCTTAGAATAACTTCACAGCATTGGTTTGAGGGCTTTTTTAGTATTGTCAAGGCAAAAATTTGGCAAACACTGGCGTTTATTTACTTGTGAATCAGCTATGAATCATTTTTGTCTTCGGTGAAATGTTCGTTTTGTAAGCTTACTAGTTTGGACAAGCAAATTTCAAACTACAAGTTGATTGCAAAATGCTTGTGTTCGCTAATTGTGGCACGTGATTCAGCTTTCTTTTTTCCTTTTCTCTGCCGAGATGACAGACAAATACCTTGTGTTACACAGACGAGTGAGCTCTGGACTTTGCCTTAATATTTTCCAGATAAACAGGTCTATGTTAGTAAACAAAGCCTGTGTTACCACAAAGAAGGTTGAAGAGCAGTTTCTCCCATCTCCACTGAGATGTAGTGTTACATGGGATATTATGCAATGCGTATGACTTTCCGAAATACTTTGCTTCCAAATGGCCAGGTTCTGTCTTCTCTAAGAATTCTCAGATTTGATTATGAAATAAAGCGGTATTTGCTATGAATTACGTTTAATCTCTTATATCGTGCTTTTGTCAGGTAAATATTTGACTTCTCTGTAGCATTAAAGGCTTCTCATGATATTCCTGTGCAGATCACAAGTACAAAGCAAGTAGCAATATCTCCCAAGCAGATCTAACATACCATTTTCCTTGGATATAGGAATATCGCTGGCAACTTTAGCTATCATTGCTTTTATACTTGTGGCTTTTAAATTATTTTTAAAATATGAATGTCATCAAGAGCATGACCATTAAACTTTCCAGTAAAAGAAAAGGTCAGATTTTTTTTTTTTTCTCTCACAACTTGCAATGTATCTCAGTTCTGACTAGCTGTACTCTTTTATGATTCACGTCTTTAATTATCATTAAGGATTTAACAGCACACCTTGGTCTTTAACTGCAGATCTCTCCTCTACACGAGTTCCTTGGATCCCTCATTACATCAGTGGCATAATTAATACTCAGCTACGTGGTTGGCGTAGGTAACGGTCCAGGGGACTCAAGGTAAAAAAGCACCCGCTACATCTCAGTAGGGCCAGCTCCTCATCTCGAGCCCATGTTTGTGCTACCTTGCCAGCTATCTCGTTAGGAACTGGCAGCTGGTACCGTTCCCTGGTTGAGAAACCCAGACTGTGTGGGGGTTAAAACCATATTGTGAGTGGGCTAAATACATCATGTTTGTAGAGTCCTTAATTTGCAGCTATCTCAAGTCTGGCATCAGCAAATGAAGATGAGAAATGGTATCGATGTGTGTTACAAATCCCTCAAGATGTTCTGCTCTGCAAGGCTTCTGTTGCCCCTGTGGTAGAAGTGGTGACTTTTCCAGTCAGTGAGGCAGTTGCCAAGGTGCAATCAGCTACAAGATCACGGCTTGTAGATTCTCCTTGCTTTGACGCTCTGCTCCCCGTAGTACCCTTTCTTCATGCAGCTTTTAACCCAAGCGTAGCACTGAGGCTTTGTGCAAAGCACCTGTCACAATCTTTGCCAATAAACTAATGGAATAAATGAATTTTGATTTGTTGAAAAGCTCTGTTCTTAAAGGCAGGCTGAAAGCAAAGGTTTTAGCTAACACTGTTGCAAAGCTTTTGAGGATTTCCCTTTGAAAGTTGGAAAGCTAAAAAAAATCATCAGGAAATAAGCTGTAGAACTATAAGGATTCATGTGGTGGTGGCAATCTTCTAATGTAATCTTGGCCCCCTAAAATTTGGACGTATCTAAATTAATCATTCCTAGCTGACTGCGGAGTGAGCTTAAAAGGAGAGCCTTCAGAAGGCAATTCTTGGGCAATTTGTCTAAATTGTTAGTTGCATTACAAAACCAAAAAAATTAATCTGTAAAGTACTCAATAGCAAAATTAGATTTTTTTTTTATTTTTTTTTTTTTTTGGTCATCTGATTTCTTAATATGTTTTCTTTGGAGTCTAACCATGCTGCATGGTTTCTTAAAGGATTGTGAGTTCTGCTAATGGATGTAATAGCTTCACAATTGGTTAACCTCAAGGAAGGAATGCCTGCCTTTGTGTGCGTTGGGTAGGAGCATGTGTTGTCTTCAGGACTATGGCTGTAATTGCGACCAGATGAATTTGAGTCCTAAGAAATACAACTAGAAGCCTTACAGCTCAGCTCGTACATCTGGAAACTTTAGGGGTTAAATCTTTGCTCCTTGTAGAGGGTGAAAGTTTTGCCAGGACCTTAAATAGGGGCAGAAGTCCATCTGAAGGTGTCTCTATGGATAACATTGCTTTCCAGGAAGGGATTATGAATCTCCTATTGACTTCGGCG